GGCAGGGATCTCCTGGACATGTCCAGAAAACTGGTACATGTCTGCTTGTACTACCAAGCCCTTCAACAAAATTCATGTTGAGCATAATTAGGTTATATTCAGTCAAATAAATTGCACATGGGATTCAAGGGGCCATTTAGAACCCATGTTTTCTCAAATTTGGTTCTGAAATTCTCCGTTCATTCTTATAACGAATGGCTTTGTTGATAATTTTCAAGAAATATTGGCATCAATCAATGATAGCATAGGAGATTAAGGGACAAACCTTGTCCCAGTCATAGACATGAATATTTAACATCTGAGACTCAGGTTCTTTCACAATAAGCTTAAAATCCTCATTCCACTCAGGATTCAAGGTCTTCTTCTTGATGGTAGTTTTCTTTGATGGTAGCCTCTCTTGACTCAGACTGAGCTTAACATAAGGATCGGATAGTCCCAGAAAATCCATCTTCAATAGTTTCATTGCCCGTACTACTTTCACATGCAATATTCCCACGGGCTTCTTTACAGCCACCCTAGAAAAGGAGATATGGAAATGAACAACCAAAGGTGTAAAAGTAGATGTTGCAAGCATAAGAAAAGGAGTTAGTCAAAACTTAAATTATATGAAAATTTGCAAAAAAACATGGCTCGATGTAAAATCTCATGGAAGAAGACTTACGTTGAAGCATCAAGAATAGGGATTTCAAGAGAATGGGGCCAGAGGTATAGACTTGCAACTTGTTTTTTAATAGTCTCCTGCAAGAAACCATCTCACATAAACCAATATCATCCCAAAATGATCTTCATTTTAGGCAATAAAATTGAGCCTCACTTCTGTCCATTGACAAAAAAAAACTAATGTGGCACCTGAACAAATCGGTATAGGCCAGGTACTGACATGATGTCCCCACCCAGAACTCTCATTCCAAAGTCTACGTGTGGCTGCACAAAAGCAAGGATAAACATCAGGGAGAAATGAGCAGGTCCACTTTACATTAAAATAGGAAAGGTTTAACTGCAGCCAAAACGTAATGCTTACCTTATCCATCAAAGATACAACTATTTTTGCAAAGCACGGAAAGGTAGACACAAGAGGTTTCAGAGATATTCTTGGTGCCGCAAATACTTGTAAATCCACCAACTGAGAAGAAACATAATCAATCCTCCAAAGAAAACCTTCTTTCTTAGGAACTTAAAACACATATTCTTCTGCTAAGGACTGTATCTTTAGGCTCTTCTGACCTGAATCGTAATTCGCAGAGACAACAATTTCAATGCCACAACTATATTTGAATTGCCAGCCCACTTGATTGATGGTTCCATGACTAGTTCTTTCTCATTTGTCTCATATGTTTTCAGACCTGCCAATTCGTAATATGAACATTAAAGCACAATGCATTTCGATATTGCATGGCGCATCCTACATGAACAGTTACAAGAATTTGCAAATGACACCTGATCTTCTTTTCCTGTGTTGTTGTACACTACAACTAGGAACTTCAAGCAAGGTCCAATGTCACAGAGTTTTTCTGTTGACACTGAACCAGACTTAATTTTGTCAAGTTTGGTATTATTCTAGAGATCTTATTATCATTGAATTTGAATAAAAGAGGTACAGGCAGTTCTAGAGTAAGCCCATGATTATCGCACTACAGCCCGACTCTCTCTCCACACCCCCCAACCACCCCCAAAAAAGAAACAACAAAGGAATAAACTGCCAAAAAAAAATTTGAGATTTGAGTCAGTTTTCTGTCTTCCCGAAAAAATTACCGGTCCTGGCATCCCAAATAAATGGGGTAACTGCTTTCTAGTTTTGTTATGGATTTTAAATTCAACAAACAGGAATATCAGGAATGCGAGTGTGGCTTTATAATTCAGCTGGAATTCGTAGCGTCTTCATATACAGAAAGATGGACCTCAATGTGTCTTTTTCTAAAACAACTGGAAAGATAAATTGAGGGACTTAGTGTGCTATGACAGCAGAACATATTTAGTTGAACCACTGGAACATTGAAGCCACAAAATGTTCAGCAAAACAGAGTTAGATGAAGAAGAAAATCACTCACCTTGAATTGTTGGAGGAAGATTCCCAAGACTTAAATTCTCAAACTCTATAGATTCTATCTGAAACTTCCCTATGTACTCTGCAAATATAGGTTGGGCCATGCTTCTTATTGTGCCACAAATTGCCTGTACATCAAACAATCTAAGCTTGCAACTTATCCACAAAACTTAAGCTTTATGAACTACAAAATTACCTCGTCAAGGTAAGGCCACATATCCAAAAGGAATTTGTTTACCCAGTCCACCTGTGCATACACATAAACACAAACCACACCCAATACAAATTAAAGGAACTGGAGAAGAACTTGGGAGTACAAAAAAATTCAAAAAATGACAAGAATTGTACGAGAGCTTGTATAGTAATACTTACTCGATCATAATCCGGATTCTTCACCCATAGTGGAATCTCAGGCATGATATCTTGTAATGAAGTTGTATCTAGCTCTTGAAGTGGCCTAACGACTGGATCCTGCAATTAATATTTCAAGCTTAGCATTCAAGATATAACCACTGATGGATGGAGGGAAGCGGGCAGGGGCAATCACCAAAGGTTTAGAAGATCCTTCTTCTTATACTATTTTTAGCTACAAAAACTCTCAAAACTATATAAGCTCGAGGACCCCCACCCTCTCTTCCCCCAAGTTTTTTCCCAAAGGTTTTGAGGCCACCCTCCAATGTTAAATTTTTTTATCAATGATTTGACGTAACATCCAGGCTCTTTTCTGGTGGTTTGTCTTGCTTCATTTATTTACTTCAAGGTAAGGAGTGAGGTTATTGCATAGGAATGTTTGGTCAACAGTTCTGGACTTCAAAGTAAAAGCACACGAGCATACTCAAAATTCACAAGAAATGCACACATGGGCACACACACAAATGCTCACACATCCCAAGACAAGTTTTGATTTGTGTAACATATTATGAAGATAAAATCAAGGCACCTTGTTGACAGTGGGTTGATACTAAAAAGAATAAAACTTTCATTACATTCAAATCTCATTGCATGTAATGATTCCAAGTTCTTTCCATCAGCTGTGATTATGGATTCAATTTATGCAAGCAACTCAATCGGGAGATAAAGTTGTCCTCAATGCCAAAAAGTAACACAAACTGTGTTCATTCTTCTTCCGAAAATGTTCAACATAAAGTAAATCCAAATCTGAATAAACAAAAAGACTTCATATCATAAGTCAAAATTGGTCAAAAGCAATGAAGCATAGCGATTCAGTAGAATATCAATATGCCACAGGCTTTCATTACCTAACCTCACTAGATCCGATTACAATATTTTTTACTACAATATAAGAAAAAATAAAAAACTTAATTTGCTAACTGCAGAGGCGCTGTTGGAAAAATGGCATCGTTTTAAACGCAAAATGACGTCGTTCTATTTAGGAAAACGACATCATTTTGGCTAACAGCACCTCTGCTGTTACGGCAGAGGATCTGCAGCCCTACTTTTAACTGTCAACCTGCTAAAACCATGACTTAGAGGATACCTATTTTACTTGGCCTTCATCAAGCTTCTATAATTTGCAGAAAGTAGAATCAAAACCACAATCAGATTAGAGGATACAATCCAAAGGATCACACAGAACAAATATAAAGAACATAAAAAACTAGTGAAAAAAAATATATCTTCAATTAAACAAAAATAGTTCGAAAATATTTACTGTAACTACGCCGGCAAATTTCATATAAGCGATAGAAACCCAAAAAGTAAAGACAAACACCATAAACACCCAGATCAAGCAATGCACAAAATTTTAACAATGAATTCAAACAAGAACTAAAAGTCACAGCCCAGTAAAAAGTCAAACTACCAGCAGGAAAACGATCAAGGGACCAACACATGAGAGAACGAAGACAAAGAAGATACCTATATAGATCATATATATTATAAACTGCACTCATCAATCAGATGTTTCAAGTTTTATTTCAAAGTTCAATGATCAAATAAGAACAAGAATATTCCATGTATATCATTACCTCTGAATCTTTGGGCTTAGAGTAAACGAAGAAGTAAAACCCAATAAAAAGACCAATTGGGATTCCAAATCCAAAACCAAGGAGTCCCAGAAAAGTGCTCAAGAAACCCATGTGTCCTCAACTCCAAGAACCAATGCAGATCAATGGAGAACTCTGGAAAGAGAGAGAGAAGGAAAAGAATAGAGAGTTTGTTTTCCAGGAGGAGACTGGCGATGAAGTCTATAAAGAAAACTTAACTCCTGAACATAACGAAGCACTTCTCAGATGAAACCGCCAAAACAAAGACACGTAATTCTATACTTCCTTCAAAAATACTCTCCTCGGAAAGCTATGTGCTCTGCATTCGGGTCACCAACGTTAAACGTTTTAATAAACGGAATGACACTATTATCCCTCTTTTCTTTATTTAATTTTTTTTACACCGTCAATTTTCAACCTATTTTCGGTCGAGAATAATTTGTCAAATATAACTAGAAAAAATTCACTAGCTAATAAAAAAAATATTAAAATTCAAGACTAAATTAATATATAAAACAATCAAACTAGTTTTAATTTACTTAAATAAAAGCTGAATAAAAAATAAGACTAAATATATAATTTTTAAGAAAAAAATAGAAGGGACAATTACAAAAAATTGAAAAAAATTATGGTAAAAAATATGACATAAATGAAAAAGATCCAAAATTGGGGGGCACCTTGTCCTAATGTGGCTACGCCCTGTTGTCACCCACGACTCATTAGACCCAGATTTTCCGAAATATTATTTTTTTATTTTTTTTCTGTTTTGTATCGAAGACACTTGTATGCATGCAAACCAAAAGGAATAGAAGGTAATCAGTGACAGTTAAATTGAAAAATAAAGAGAGAGAATTAAATACTTAAGAACCCTAATCCAAAGTCAGTTATTCTAACTTAATGACCATTGCCTTCGCCAACTCACCAACATTCAAATTTTTTTTTTCATTGTTTCAACAACTCGTCCTTCGAATTCATGGTTGTAAAATAAAATTCTAATGCATAAACATGAGTTTTATGTGATGAGAAAAATTATAATTCAAAACGTATAAATTTATTAGTAATAACCCATATTTAAAAGTGCTTTAAAATTTTTTTAAAAAAATTAATTTGAAATAATTTTTCTTTTATTTATTTTAATAAAAAAAATTAAAATCAATATAATCCCGTGACAGTGTTTTTTCTGACATCAATCGCATCATTGCCGAGCATAAAATCTTTTAATCTCCCGACACAAACCCGTCAATCTTAGCTATCTACAAAATTACTTTATTGTTGATTTAGTTTTCCCCCAGATAAGCCGGCCGGCTAACTATGAAATTTGGAAGTGGATCGGTTCAACAACCAGGTCCCACAATTCCCCAAGAATATATTATATTTATGTAGAGTATTAATTACATATTAATAAAAAAATTATCAATATAATCTAGTTATTCATGATTTTATTTATAAACAATGTTATTGGGACCTAATTTGATAACCTAATTCAACCTTTGGATTGACGATAAATTCCATCAAACATTAGAATTTTGTGTTGATCCAATCATTCCTATGAAGCCACCTCATTATGTCAACAAATTAAGTCAGATTTTTAGATTCAAATAACATTATTCTTTATTTATTTAGTGGGCAAAAATAATAAATATAACATAATACAGTTGAACTATATTATAATATCATCTCTTCAGGTGATAAAAAAATTGACTCAATAGTACGGATAGAACGTATTATATATGAAATAAGTCTATATATATAATACAAAATATTTTTAACAGTCAAACGTAATATAAAATTAAATTAAAAAAATTTAATTTATTATGACTAGTTAATCCACACATTAATAGTACAGCTAAACCACCTTTTAGATTATTGGATTTTGTATGAAGCTTCCAAGTGTTGTTTGTGGCGACCAGAACAAGAAAATTGAAGGCTGTTTGTGAGTTGTCTTGCAAAATAAATGCATGGTTGGCAGGATATACCTAGAAATATGCTGACATATGCTCATTTATTTTTATTTTTAAGAAAATTAAATTAAAAAATTTAATGCATTTAAACTATGCTTCTTACCTATTTGTTGGTGCTTTCCTTGAGATCGCTTTACTTGCTTGCCATTTGTCAAGATGAGTTTCGAGCAGACCAACTGGTCATGATTGGTTGGTTTGTAAGGAGGAAGAAAAGGTTGATTGGAACTTCTTTAATATATTTTTCGATTATTATTTTTTTTTTTGTGTGTCAAATATCAATTTTCAAGTTCTAAACTTCTATCCATTGAAAAAAACAAAATTGTAAGCTTCTAGAAAACATAGACTGATTTTCAATTGATGATTCAATTGTATAGCACAAATCATATATATGTTTTTTCATCGGTCTTGCTAGAACCAGAGACCAAAGCCATTGATGCACTTTTTTTTTTTCCCTTCTAGTCCAAGAATAACTTAGATATTTTGATACAGAGTGCATAATTTTCTTTAATTGGCGGGAGGAAATATAACTTATTTCGTTGGTAAGGGCATAATTGAGGGTTATGTTTTGAAATTTTGTCCTAAAAATATAATACTAATGGGCTTTGAAAAACACCCTACTTGCACATTAAAGAAAGGTCTTCCTAAAGAATTATGGGTTGAGTCTAGATATGATATTGTTGACTATGTTTATTTGTGCTATTTCAAAGTCATAGCAAAAACAATTGTCAAATGGGTTTGTTAAAAGGCTTTAGAAAATAACTGCAGTAGCTCATACTTTTGGCAATTAACTGTAAAATTAATTTCTATTCTTTTGGTAAGTAAAAATAATTAAAACTATATAGTGTACAATGCTAGCTCTATATCAATTTGAGTATGCATTCTCTAAATTTTTTGTAATGTTAGATTACTTAGTATGTGTTGATGAGAGGACTACTTATACACTGAATCTCACTTGAATTCATAATGATTAAAAATTGCTATCAATGGATAAGATATTCATTTATATATAATAAATTTATATTTATGTTTATATTTATTTATACAACGTATAAATATCAGCATATGTAAAACAAAGTTAATTTCATATTTCATCTCTATTTAATAATATTAAGTGAATCATACCCCTCATATCTTTATTAATGTCATCATTTTCCCTTCTATGTCCTATCAAAAACTCTTCTTATCATATAATATAAGGTCTCTAACCATTCTCTCTACTAATTCTTTTAGCTTTAGGTCTTTAATTACAATAATATCTCTAATAACTCAAATTACTGTATAATACATGTATAGATTAATAACTAGGTTGAGTAAAAATTAAAATAAGAATTAATTATTCGACACATAATATATTTATTCAATTCAATTACACATATAATCCCTATTTTTTATAAGTTTAACAAAAAAATATTATTTAAATATGTTCACGTACAACGTAAAATGTATATTACTTCCATAATTTTTATAAAATCAATTACATCCTTATACTTTCATATAATTTTTGTTTTTAAACAAAATTTGACTTTCAAGTTCTTTTGAATTATTTTATAAATATTATTTGATTTCTAAGTTCTTTTGGACTCCTTTATAAATAGTACACTAATATAAATTTTTTCATATATATGCCTATATCTATACAAAAAAACAAAAACAAATCTATATTATATTGTTATATACATATTGTTATCAAATTAGATTCTAAGATCAAATATATGTTACATTTAATTTTTTTTAATAATTAAGTTTAACAAGAAATAAAATATAGATTATTTTTTGATACAAAATTTATCATTTAATTTAATTACACATAAAATTTATATTTTTATAGATTCAAAAAAATTATTATTTAAATTATTGACGTGCAACGCACATCGCGCATTACAAGTTCTTCATTTTCGATACCCTATAAAGTTTTTTTTTTTTTTTTAAAAAACTTCCAGAAGATTGTTGAGTGTCTTTCTCTCGACAGATTTAAAATAGGGCGGGGTCCAATAAATCTACCCAACGATTTCAAATAAATTCATCCGATAATATCAAATAGATTTATCCAACAACCACCAATATTTCTCTCAAAATCATTCACATTATATCGTGTCTTTAAATACAGATTACCTCTAGTTCAAAGATGAATTAAAACAACACCAGTTGTGGACGCTTGAAATGAGCTTGGTCTTTATACTTTATAATCCCACTTGTGATAACTCATGCCTGAAACTACGATAGAACATAAAATTCAAGAGTCTAAAATATCGATCTCATTATATTAAATATTAATTTTTTTTTCTTATTTTTTAATTAATTACATAATTTAAAATTAATTTAAACCAATTTTTATATAAAAAAATTAACAAAATTCTCTCAAAATACACGATTTCAAAAATATCAATATGTATATAGTATCGTACATAAACAATCTCTAAATTAAATAATTTAATTTATTATAAAAATAAGCGATGTGATATAAATTAAATTAGTTAGAAACATATCTGAGAATAATATTCAAAGTGTTAGCTAACCTATTATATATATTAAACAATTTATCCTAGTGTTATGTTATGTTTGGTACGATGAAAAATGAAATAATGAAAAGTTAAAAGGATAAAAATTTAGAAAGATAAATAAAACATCATATATGACAAGAAAATAAAATAAAAAAGTAGATGATTTTTTTTTTTTTTTGATATTAAAAAGTGGATGGATTAGTTTTTTTTTTTCCAACTTACAAAAATCAATCCTTCCAAAATTGAGAGGAAATGTGAATGAAAAGTAAATTATGTGTATTGAAATATATGTTATTTACCTATCAATCCTTTAATATATGCATATATCATATTCGTATATTACATATTATGTATACATGAAAATTATATACAGATATAACAATAAAATACGTATTTATACTTTTTATAGCCTTCCACTTTACCAACTAATCAAACACAACAAAATCAATTCTTCTTACTTTTCATCCTTCCTACTAAACATAAAAGAGAGAAAAAATGATTCATCTCTTAAAGAATAGACAATGTATTACTCTTATTTTTTATCTTTCCATTTTTTTATTCACCCAACCAAACACATCATTATGTTCTATACTATACAAAAGGATTAGACATATTTGGATTTTTGCCCCTT